AAAACGCTGGGCAATGAGTTTCAAGAACACAACTACATTAATAATAGACATCTCCTCATACCATCCCCATTCTGAGTATAATGCATGATGATAGTTTCTATTTAGGATCTTCGGTCTGCATAGACACTAAACATAATCCTGCAGAGCTCAATCATTTGCCCAGATCTAGGCCCATTCTCACTGAACCCTCTGCAACTATTTCGTTTCCTCAGACCTATTCCAAAGACAGTTCCACAGGAAAAGAAATCACTAAAACTTCTCATAAAGTCCCTGTTTTCTACCAGATGGAAGACATTCACACACACAGGCTAAGTTACCTGAATTTGGCATGAATTCATGGATAAGCTTAATATTTCTGGAGGAGTTACTTGCTCTGAGGATTTCCTGAATTTTCAGGTTGTTCTTCCCTTATCCCTGTGCTGTATCCCCAGGGCTGCCAAGCCTGCAGTCAGGATAAATGGAGACTCCAGCTTTCCGAATGCCAGGTTAGGGGAGTGGAACACAACACAGAGGTGTGCAGAACACCAAACCTCTTGTAAAGCGTGGTTTTCACTTCAGTGTGACCGTATGATTAAATCACAAGATACATTACACTAAATACATTCATTTTGCACAACAATAAATGTAACTTTTCTATCAGAATCGTTCTTCACAGACACGGGTAGCTGCAGAATTTTTTCTAAAACAGAAACACTGTGATCACACGCTTTTAAAACTAATCAATTTGCTCTATAATAACAAAAGAACTTCTCTAACAAACTGGCTTACACAGTGTTTTGCTTATTATATATGCTTATAGCTGGGGAACCAGCTGTTTCCACCAGCTGGTATTTCCTGTCTTCTCAAGAGCATTATTTTATCAATTGTTATTTTAAAACACCCACTAGAGAACAAATGCTATGGTTTTCTCAGCCACAATGCTGTTAAGGTATGCTTTATGGCACACGATCTTCCCATTTACAGGTTATCACAGAGGATATTTCATCCTTAATGGAACAGCCTCTTTTTCTTGGAAATAATAAAATCTGCATATCAGCATGTGACATGAAAGAGATAGCATTCCAGTCAGCACCTTTCTTTTTGTATAAAGTTTGACGTTCATAGGCCTTTAATGCATAGAAATAATTCATCTTGTTGCTCTCCTAAAACCTCTACCATTTCATATTACTGTATGGAAGCTTTTACCACATCATTGATAATCGCTGAGAGATTGTTCCAAACATGGATGATTTACAATAAGGTGTTTTTTGAAGGGTGAAATTAGAGTGCATAAATGTATATTATCTATAGAGAAAAACACACACGTGCTTCTAGCAGCATGAGCAGCCCAGGACACCTGGTGGACAGACCCAGCCGTGCTTCCCAAAGACCCTCGGCTACCAGCAAATCCTTTACGAACCAGGGGCATCTGTCTTCAATCAACTTAATGCTTTTAGTGTCTTTGTTATGATGTGGAATTTAGGTGAGGGATAATAGGCAGCAAGAGACATCTAACAAGCTTTTTTCACACTGCAGTTTCTCAAAATGTACTGATACCAACCGCTGTAGATCAGAAGCAGAATCTTGCAAAGTTAACAGAAGTGCAATTGAACACCAATGGGCAACTGAGCTCCATCACACTGCTCTCTTTTTTGTCCTTCTTAAATGGAGAGAAAACATGATTTACAAAGATCGTGTATTGACATAAGGGCAGGAAGATGGCTCACAAGTTTCCACTCTCATTGACCTCTGTGCCTGCAGGGCCACTTCTCTCCCACCTCTCACCCCTCTTTCCCAGCTGCTGTAGCACAGCGGTGTTCCCTTCCTTAAATCCGCTCTCCCAGAGCACACCCAGCATTGCTCACAGTGCAGCTCTGGCAGCAGTGGGTTCATTTGCAGCTGCTCTGCTCTGACATGGAGCAATGCTGGACTCTGCTCACAGAAGCCACCCCTGCAGCTCCTCTGCTACCAAAAGCTTGCTCTGTAAGCTCCATGCACTGAACCACTAGGCACCACTGTTATAGATGAAGTAACACCTCCCTGATACAGTCAGGAAACCACCTCATTTGCTCTTAGTGAAACCTTACAAGTTGAGTTATTGCCACAGAAAAAGGAAAGACTACTTCAGCAGATAAAATAAATTAAAACAACAAAAACACCACGTTTAACATTGTTATACGCGTATCTCTTAATTTTGATCGTATTTCATGACTACCCTTTCACTGTCATCTCATGTCTAAACACCAACCAGAAGAGCAGCAGCCCTACTCAGGAGAAGGGAGACGCTGTGTGGCATTTCTGTCCCACCAGAGCGACCATGGGGCAGGAGAACTCACACAGCCCTACTGGCCGCAGCCATCTCAGCCTGGGAATTGCATTTCCTGCCTGATGCATTCAAGACACTCCTTGTTTTGCTCTTGCTGTTTTACCCCAGTTTTGGCCAAGTTTCATTCTTTACTCCTAAGTCATATCAGGAGCTAAAAAAATTCATCTCAGCCTACATGCTAGAAACCCCATAAGAGGAGGAAAGAACCCTGTTGACAAGAGCCATCCGGATCAAACAGAAAATCTCCTGATGTAATACTATGAAAGAGCCTTGAATTTGGGAACTGCTTGTGTTATGTATCCATCAACTAAAGGACAAAAGGCTGTTGCTTGGAAAACTCCACCTTATCGCTTTGTTCCTGTATGATCTTTGTCAACATTACAATATCCAACAACAAGCAAAAAACAGCTGCAAGACCTGAATATAACAAGGTGCTGCTAGAAATGCCTACTGGAGCATGGAAGCCATAGAGAACAGGGTTTTTATTTGCCTGCATACAGCAAAGTAGTCGCTATATATAAAAATTCCTGCAAAGAAAAGTTCTCTTTGGTATCTGCCATCAAGATGAGCAGGAGCCCTGCCTAGAGTGGCTGCTCCTCACAAAAGCAATCTCCTCATGAGCAAAGGAAGCAACTTGGTCCTTCTGTGCATGTGTTCTTCCTCATGTGGAGAGAAGGTTGTCTTCACAGTCTGTCTATTAGTAAAAGGAGAAAAAAGTTAAAGGAAGGGAAGGGAAGAGGCTCTGATGAGACCAGCTATAGCTTTGGTCAAGGCGGGTCTTAAGCTGGGCCCTTCTGTGGCACTGATTTGTTTAATATGAATAAGGCAACTCTCTATTCTTGATTCCGGAAGCAAAGAGTAGATGAACAAAGGACAAAAGCACACAGAAGAGAGACTCGGAAGGAAGAGGAAGTTGAACAAATCATGGTGGAAAGGACAGGGGTCAGAAACAGAGTAGGAAAATCAAAACTGAGTAGAAACAGCTCAAAGGAAACGGCAAGTCCTATAATTACATTACTTTGTAGTTTTAAAGCTCCACATCTCTAAAGATGAATATAGATTTTCATTTAACAAATTCAGTATACTGCCATTGTCATTATCAATACTCGTGCATTTTTTCCCCCCCTCAGGTAAAAGGCAGGATTACCATTGACATCAGCCATGAGGAATTCTAACTCAAAGTTGTAGGATGCACCATTTTATATGCAGCAGCACATCAACCATGATTGTCCTATCTACTGATGCTGGTAACGGTGCAGCCACGTGAGCAACAGGGAGCATGTGAACAGGGACTTCATTGGGGAAAAAAAGCATATGAAAGAAAGCATATGCTGGACTTTCTGATTCCCAGCATACATCATTGGCCATTTTTGCTGTGCTCCTCATTCAAGAATATTAACATTAATTTCTCCTTGATAAAAACTGTAGATGGTTCATTCTTAGCCACTTAATTCATTCACTTACAAAGGCAATTAATTCACAGACACCACCATAGCATGAAACTTCCACCCTTACCAAAGCGGTCCAGTAAGCAAAAACATCTCTCTGAACTGTTTTAAGGTGGGGATGGGGATATCAGCAAAGACCTGAGTCAGCCCCACACACTGCCCACTGGCTGCTCAGTCAGCCTCGTTTGATTGCTTTGCATGTATGCCTGCTTGCTGCAGGACACAGCACCTCGCTCTGTCTAGCCAGCCAGCACTCAGAACAAATTACTCACAGACAGCAGCTCCTGGCAAAGTCACCTTCCTGCTGCAGATCTCTCAGGAGCTCCTAAGAAGAGCATCTCAGTCCCCAGGTAAATATGCAACAAACAAGTGCTCATGTTGCATCAACAGAATGACCTGCCTTTTCCAAATGATTCTCACTCCAGCAGTCTGTATTTCTGCTTCCAAAAACTGGGTGGGTTATTGCAGATAGTGCTTGACCAAATGATTTTACTGAATGTCTCCTGATAATTCTTGAAGACTTACCAAGTATGCAGCTAAACGCTAAGGCTGCACCATTCTCCCTCCCTGCTGCGACAGAATAGCTTGAGTTGGAAAGGCCTTCAAGGATCATAAAGATCCTATACCACTCCCACCCCTCCTGCCACAGGCAGAGCTGCCAGTTGCTATCTCAAGTACTAGATCAGATTGCCCAGGGCTTCTCACAAAATCAAACAATAAAATGAACTGTTGAAAACCATGCTGAAAGAAATGGGTGAGTAAGATGATAAAAATAATGGCAATAATATTCAGGGAATCTGATGATGTGGTTACTGTCCAGGAGGTAAAAAAAAAAAAAAAAAAAAAAAAACAAAAAAAAAAAAAATTAAAAAAATTTAAAAAAAAAAAAAAAAAAAAAAATCACAGAAATGGAGAAGCATCCAGTCTAGCCTTGAATACCTCCAGGAGCAGAGCAAACACCACCTCTACAGGCAATCTGCTTCAGTACCTCACCACTCCCTCAGTAACGTCACCAGGCTTAGCTAATCATCAAGTTAGACTACAAAATTTTCTCTCTCAACTTCAACACAAATCCAGAAGAAATTTAAAAATAAATCATTTTACATGCTAAAAATCACCAAACCTCAAAGAGATTTTCTCTGGAAACTCAGACAAAATAAACCACAAGGATATAATAAGTCGTCTTATACTACTTTGGTTCCAAGGAATAAAAATAGCATATAACACAGCTCAGTACAGTGGTCAGTTTTATTATGCCGGAATCCACAAATGAAAATTCAGCTTCGCTTTTGTCAGGTACTCTGTTAAACTTAAAATAAAAAAGAAGAAAAATATGTAAAGTGGTTAGCAGCAACACTACACATTTCTTTCATGGGTAATTTACTGTGGAACAGATGTCAAGTTCTCTCTGTGCTATTCAGATCCAAAGGCAAGCCCTAGTCAGGCTGCTGAATTCACAACCTATCCACACTGAAAGTGTATTATTAATGATTCTCCTGATAATCAGCTAGAGAAGTTGACTTCCTTCAATAAAAACTACATCTATAATAGCCTTCTACGAAAAGAATATCACATTTGTCCACGTGTACTTAGTAATACAGAATAAAAGACACTATCATTTCCTCCCCAGAACAGCATCATAGATTTTTCCAGTTCTCCTGACTCGGACGTCCCTGAAGCCAGCTGCCCCAAGGAGCTCGCTGTACTCAGCTGCTGTTCGTTCCTTTCCTTCTGTCTGCACCAACATGTTCAATGAATACAGCTGGGTTTCCACAGGTCCGCTTCTGTCTCCTCTCAGGAGTGATTCAACCAGTAGCACTCCACCACCTGGTTGAACAAAGAGTATTATGAAAACCCTGCGAAGATGGGCTATTTTTCAATTGAGTTGTTAGACCAGATCCTATTCTGTTCTTTCCATAAGCAGCAGCCTCTCAATTAAGTCTTGTTTTTTCATCACAGAGGACAAGAAGGGAGCAAAGGCATTGGAGCATCCCACTTTTTGGCTACCCCATTGCTGAAGCTGTGTGATCCATGTAACTAATGGGTGGGAATTTCCCTTTCTTTTCCCCAAAGCTCACACCTACCAGGTCTGCAGGCCTTATAAACTTCTGCCAGCAGCTGCCCACATTTTTCATCATCCCAATCATGCAGTATCTTTGATAAAATGTAGAGGTCAGCTTCAGGGATTGAATCTTTAAAAAAATCTCCTGTAAAGCAAAATACGTGTTCCACACAAAACTCCTGAAACAAAGAGGAGGTTCAGCAAGTATCTTTTGTTCTCTTAAGATCTAAGGACTCTGGGTTTGACCCATGACCCACATCAGACCTCAACAGACTAACCCGGTAAAATGGAGCTACACCATAAATCCATCAGGAGAAAACACGTTTGCACCTCCTAACACTAGTTACACAGTCATGCCTTTTACTCAGCATCTGGTGTACTGCATTTACTGCATTCATATTTTTCTATTCACAGCTTACTTTCTCATCAGCACTCCTAGTTCTTCGCATCACTGTACATATACAGCCTTTCCCCTGTTTCTTCATCTTTGCTTTAACATATTTCTTCCCTTCTTCAAAAGCTTCTTTCTTTTCTCATAACTTTAAGCAATACTAAGTCCTTTCAATAAAGATTTCTGAAGACATTAAACACAAGATGTCCCTAAACACATTTTCATCATAGATGGTACAAAGGCTATTTGAGGACTGGATAAGAGGAACATGGGTTAGCTCATCCACATTCAAAGCCTGAAATATGACAGAAGCCTAGCAATCACAACCAGGGAGGGAAAACCCCTTGCTCAGAGCAGGGGAGGTGTTCCATGCATCTGCTAGAAGGCCTATACAGGAGACGAGGGAATATAAGTGAGCTTGCAACACAGCATGGCAGTTGTTAAAAAGCTGTGACAATACAACCCTGACAGATTTGCTTTTGGGAGTGCTTAAAGATATTGAAGCTGCTCTGCACACCAACTTTGGCTGTCAATACTTACACGTTGTCTGGATAAGTGACTAATTCAAGGCAGTGTTGAACAAGGGCACTTTTGGTCACCAATCTCCCCAGTGAGTAACCAGCCATAGGCAACCCTTGCCCACCACAACCCTGCAGGCCTACATCGCCCCACCACTGCTAGCACCTTCCCACAGAGATGTCTGCACCTACCTTCATGAAAGGCAATCCGTCGCTCCTCTGGGGGAACCAATCGCTCTTTGGCCACTTGTACAACTTTGGGCAGGTCATAAACTGTGACTGTGCAATTTGGATACAAGAAAACACATTCTTGGGCCAGAGCTCCTCCACCACCTTTGTGGAGAGAAAAGTAGATCAGTGCTGAAACAAAACCACCTTGTTCTGCACACCTACTGTAAAGCAACGTCAGCAGTGTGCATCCAGCTCTACGGCACCTGATGGCATACGTTTGTCCTCAAGTGCCATAGAAAAGGAAGAGGAAGGACAGGAGTGGTTACTCCAGCCTGCAGGGTCAGCTCCAGCTCTTACAGCCCTTACACAGCACCTCAGCCACTGGTGGGTCACAAAAGGTGGGAAGTGAAAAACAGAGCTGCCAAGTGAGGGATGGAGCAGTAAGGTAACCTAATAGGTTCCATAAATCTCAGCAGTGCTCAGCAGCAATGGGGAAAGAGAGTGGAGGCATAATGGCACATCAATATAACGGCGCTGACTGTAGGAGAAAGAGTCTGGCACTGAAAGAACATATCAAGCAAGGAAATACAAAAGAGCAAATCTGACATGTAAACGAGATGAGCTACTATATGCACATATGAGAATCCACGGACAAAAACTTGAGCTTCCTAATACTCACACCAATCTAATATTTTTTAAAAACACATTCAGAATGAGAAAACATCCCTCTGTTGCTGACAAGATTAAGATATACCCTACCCATTGCTTTGCCCATCATGTAAAATAGAAGATGCTCTTCTGTATTTTTTTTTATTTGCCCTCCTCAAGCTTGGAAAAATAATTCAGAGGCTTTTCGAAAAAGATCTACTGATGCTCACCTCCCAGGTCATAAATCTGTGTGAAAGGAGAAAGGTCAAATGCAGTAAGTACATCTCTGCCACATATACTCCAGATTGAGTTCTGGCCAGCCAAGAACTTCAGCATTTCTTCTTCTGATCTAGTAACAGACACAGCATACAGAAACGTAACTTAGAAATGTAACTCATAGTATTCTTAGTGACTCTTTATCATAGAATTCTTACTAAGAAATTTAGCTTAAGCATTGATATCTCATTTTATTTGCAACCAATATCTTCCCTTTGCACATAAACCTAGCTAGAGACTTATCCAGCAAAAAGGAATAGGTATGCACTGATGCACTTGAATTGGGAATTAAATATAGCAAAGTCAATGAGTGCACTACTGCTAGTTCTTGTACTTCAGGGAGACCTGAGATTTCTTTTTCATAATAGGAAATTATACATTCCTATTCAAAATATCCAAGTGTTCCAGTAATGGATATTGCTGAGAAGGGAAAACTCTGCATGATGTTTTTAATGAATTGAATTCTCACATCACAATATTAAAACTCAGTCATAATTAAAAACAAATTTTGCCTACCACAAGAAATACATTTATATTATACATTTATATTAATATACTAATACCTGTACATGGCTCCAAAGAGGTCTTCAGATGAAATGCCAAAAGCTCTTTCATATTGATTTCTTCCTTCTCTAAAATAGCAATAAAAAAAAAAAAAAAAAAAAATTAGCATACTAGCATGGATTCCCTCTTTACTGCAGACACACAGGAGCTGAGGTTAGTAGACAGACTATATGTCTCTGTGCCATGGATGTAATGACATCCCTGCCTGCCACTCCCAAAAGATGGTGAAATATTTCAACAAGAATGTCTTGTTCTCCATGGAGCTACATTTGAGGCAGAGGTGCAAAACTGGTGTGATGATCACCAATCACCACCTTCATGCATAGCCAGTTTGTTCATTTGTTGCAGACTAGAATAAGTGAGACTCCATGCCCTATAGTGAGCTACTCTATTATGCCTTTGCAATAGAAGTATCCTTAGTCATTGCTACTCATCATTTATTTTGATGTCTCTAAAAATAAAAGCAACTGCAATGAAGAAGTTGTCTCCCAGATACCGAAACACACAGAGGTCCTTTCTAGATCTACTCTAGGGAGGAGATAGGAGGAGAAATGGACAAACATGCAGTAGCAACAGCAGTAGATTTTTTTTTTTTTTTTTAATTTTATTTTCTCAGAACCATCCAACATCTTCTGTACCCCTTCTAGGGACGCTAAGAAGAGACACACAAATGTAGCAAAGTAGCCTGCAACACCCGCATCCTCCCCCTCACCTCACAGCATCAGTCAGGTAGTGCCAGCACAAGTAGACGGTGTTGGAGTAATACATCATAATATGATACTGAGACTTGGGACTTGACTTCGTAAGGTAGATATTGGAAATTTCTGTGTTTCTGTAGAAGGCTAAGAGGTGAAATAAATACATTTACTAACATATATGATATCATCTTGCCAAGCCCATTGTACAGCATGATATATATACACATTGTCAGAACAGATCTGTACATCCCAACAGAGAAACACGTTGCTTCTACACTTAGTTCTTCCAAAGGTAATGTGTAGCACAGTATTCTGGGGTTGGTGAGGGCTGGTGAAATCTGCATTGTCCCATTCAGCATGGGTAAACACTATCTACCTATGTTTCCTTCAGAGTAAAACATCTCAGGAACAGTAAGAGGAACATTTTGTAAGGTTCATTATTTATCTACATGCTTCTGCTGTCAGAATAAGTTCCCTGAACTCCTAGAGCACCTGCTGTAAGCCTGAAACAGGGCAAGAAAACACAACCACACCAGGACTCAAACATTTCAAAGTTCATCATCACTAGCTGTCTGATGGGCACAGCCTTTTCTGATTACATGGACTCAAAGACTTCAGGGAAAGATGGAATTCCTGTCACTTTTCAGTTCAGACCAGAAACCTAACAAGCTCCTTCACACAATGGTAAAACTTCCAAAGAAAACAAATGTGCTTTTAAGTTGCCTTCACATTTTGTTTTAAAGCTTAAAATCATGCCCACACATCATACTTCTCTGGAGACAACTATCACTACAGAACTTATCTTGTACAAGATCATTTAAAGCTCTTGCACAAAGAAGTTTAGAGATAAAGGAAACCCCAAGAGAGAGTTTCTGTATGTCTCCAATCATGCCGACATTTCCTGCTTCTTTCAGATGATCTCTTCTTTAAGCTATGGTAACCGGCCTAAGACTAGGTATCACCTTTCCTCACACTGGACCTCAGTTTCAAAATCATGAGAACTCTAAGAGTTTTCCTTTTTTCCTTCTACCTTTAAAGGGTGCGAAGAAGATGAAGCCAGGCTCTCTTTCGTGATGCCCAGTGCCAGGACAAGAGGCAGTGGGCACAAACAAGAATATGGGAAGTCTGAACACCAGACAGCACTTCCGTGTTGTGCGGGTGAAAAAGCACAGGCTCCCAGAGGCTGTAGAATCTCCTCCTTGGAGATCTCCAATAGCTGCCTGGACATTGATCTGGGCACCCTGCTCTGGGTGGCCCTGCTGGAAAGGAGTCAGACCAGATGAACCCAGAGGTCCCCGTCAATCTCAACCATTCTGTGATTCCCCTTCATCTTCCTTCTTTACCTCCTTCTCGTCTCAGCTCTACTGCCAAAAGCTTCAATCCCACACAGGCATCCAGAAGTCTTTCCATCCCCATGATGCTTGTACCCAAGCGTGCAGCAATGACATCTAAAGATAGAGGTTGTCCTGACTCCAGCAGAAGATCGAACACTCCTAACTCACAGGCAGTGAACATAACCTGGAAGTGAGAGGAAGGGCTCAGGTGAAAGTACCAAAGTTAACTGCATTTCCAAGTTGTTTTGTTGGAGAAAATATACACATAATAAAATATTTTTTTACCTGAAAAAAAAATTATTTCATATGCACAAGTCCAGCTGAATATTCTCTAAGCACTGATAATGCCATAGATTCCTTATAGTGCAACCTTATTTTTATGTTTACTAGCCAAACCAAACAATTTTTCAGACTTACAAAGTTCATGCTTAAGGGCCATTCTTCGGTTGTGAATGTTCTTGATTTTAGCTTTGTTTCAGAACACATTTACAATCTCACTTGTTTGGTTGCTTTGTTTTTTGGTTTTGGGTTTTTTTTTTTTTTTGGCTTGGAGAACTTAAGCAAAGGTAAGACTGTGAGTTTGTTGGCTTTATGTTTTGTTGGTTTGGTCTTATTCAGAGGAGGGGGTCATTCTTTTTTTTTCTTTCTTTTTTTTTTTTTTTTCCCCTCCCCTTTCAACTAATTATTTAACATATGCTATAGGGAAGGGGTGGATATCCCACTCTGTAGACCCTCTTTGAGTAATGCCCACACACACAACTGATTTATTTTCAGGTACCAAAGTCCACAGCAGAGTCTCCAGGGAAGGGAGTTTTGTCTCAACCGAGATGGCAGCCTTATTCAGGCCAACAAAAATGCACTGTCTTTTCAAAAAGAGTGAAGGTGTATGTATAAGCTTTAGAGAGAAGCCTTAAGACAGACATACACAACTACACATAACAAGAAAAATATCCTTCTCTAGCTGTAAACAGACAAATTTGTAAGTAACAGATAACCTATTTCATTGGCCACCTAAAAGCCCCCCAAAACCTGCATAACGTTATCAGCTCATTGGACTACTGATATATACAGTGATTTGATAACGTCCAAGGGAAGCTACTCTTACCCTCAGTAAGAACAGCATGGCTTAACCAAAGTTGAGACTGTTTCTCAAAAACATCGTATTGCTTTTAATTTTGAAAGTGCTGGGCAATCTTATTTCTCACCAAGCAGAAAGGTCTGTCGTCATCTATTTTTTCCTCTCTTCACTAAGTGTTCTGCACTTCTGGAGCCTTTGGATTCAGCAGCATTTACAGACCTCTGAAGTGTATTCCTTTTGTTACCGTGTTGGCTAGAGGTGCAGCAGAAGACAGTAGGAAAGACAACTAGAGTTGTAAATGAAGAAAAAACCTCCACTGCATTGGAAGACAGGATTTTTCTGCCTATGTCCACACACAAAGGCAAACATCAGCAAGTGTTAGGGAAATTACAACTATTCATTCTAACCTTGTGCCATGATCAGATGCTCTCTGGAAAAAATAGCTTTAAAGAACACCATCCTTTTAAAGTCACAAAGTGACAACAAATGGAAGTTACCAAAAATTGCCTTCTGCAAAATATAAATCAAAAAAATCATGTGAGAAGAAAGGAAACTCTCTCAGAACATATCTGAAAAGTCTTACCATTTGTTGGGTATGAAAAGGGAAAAGGCAGAAACGCAAGGCAGTCTTCTGGCTCTCAAACTCAAACTCAAAAAAAAAAAAAAAAAAAAAAAAAAAAAAAAAAAAAAAA